TCTGTCTATCCACCTAGCCATCTTTGGTGAAGCAAAACTAGAGTATTGCGTGTCATAGCAAGCAGATGATGATTGTCGTCAAAAGGAGCACAGAAGCAGAAAGCATAGCAACTATGTACGTTCCTTGTAGAGAACCAGTGTGGCGTAATGGTTTGAGTTTTAGACTATGACTCTGGAGACCAGGTTCAACTCCCAACTTGACCTATGGGTGACCCTGGGCAAGTCACATGCTCTCAGCCCCAGAGGAAGGCAATGACAAACCTCCTCTCAACAAATCTTGCCAAGAAAACCCATGATAGGCTCTTAGGATTGCCATATGTCAGAAACAACTTGAAGGCACATAACAACAACACATTTTCCTTGAGGTACAGGTCATATAAAACAGTAGGCTGCCCTCTCCAGGTGTAGATCTGGCAAACTTGGGCTCAGATGACTAGACATATGTGGCACAAAAGCATTACAGGAATTATATTCATACAATTCTAGAAGCCTGTTTTTTTGTCATATACCTCTGTCCGCCTCCATAGCTTGTGCCTATTTTTCGCTTACTTCAGTCAGACAGAAAAGAGAAATGCAGTAAATCTCACAAATGATATCTCCTTCTGAACATTTGATCATTCCTTTGTAATTCTCATTTATTATCTCAAGATACAGGCGACAACTGAATAGGAGACAGGGCCCGTGCATGACATAATTAGTAGTATTGATCAGCATTTAATTAAAGCAAAGCCTCAGATTCATCTTAGGGAATTAACCACATATTCTAGAGATCCAAAAACATGGGTGACACTTTAAGAAAATGGGCCAAATGAGATCAGCTAAATTAGATTTTGGTGTCCTTTCCAAGAATAGCCATTAAAAGGCAACCTAAAAAGAATAGGAACTTATTGTAGTTCACTGTTGTGTGACTGGAGGATATAATCATCACAGACTGAGAGGAAAAGTAAAAGAAACTCGCTTGAATCCTCATGTAATGTTAGTTTTATTGATTTTAATGGGTATCCTCTAAGTAAGAGTAATCACATCACCACAACTGAATGTGCACTCCTTCACAAACAGATAGAGCAACAAGTAACTTGTTACTTGCAATTCATTCCTTTTTGCAACAACAAAGGAATACATAAGTTACATTATGATTATAACATGGCAGATAACATTACTCATTTTTGATATAATTGCAACTTATAGTTACTTGCATAGTTACAGGATGGTTATACCCTCATTATGTAGGAATATTTTGTGCTAGCAACATGTAGTATATTCCTTTTCTTTCAAGGGATGTATTTTAGTTACTCTTGAATAACAAGAAATGGAAGAGTTACTTCCCACCATAACTAGAATGTTAACTGTTTGGGAGTCTTGGAATTGTAACTATAATTAATTATGTTTAGAAAGTATATAATAACACTTATGAAAGGCTTGCTACTATCAGTCCAGTAGAGTAATTGTAGCTGGTGGTAGCAGATGTCACCTGGCCTTCATTGTCCAAATAGCCACTGTTTTTTAGAGGAGGCTCATGATGACATAAAGGCTTCACTTGTTTGCTAGTCTTTCCTGATCACTTCTGACTCCAGTTTTGTTTGTTTGCTTGTTTAGTGACTCAGAGGGATCCATCATCTGTGTGAGTCATTATGGGTGAAGTAGCCCTAGAGAACATCACCCAGAGCCTCAGTGAGGCACCAGCAGCTTTAGTTCAAGGTAGGAATTATGCAGACCATGAGCCACATATGGCCTTCAAAACCACTTAGACAGTTGCTGGTAAGCCATTGCCAAAA